TAATTAACCCTAAAAGCAATTCATATGTGATGTCAGGGCCCTTAAACAATATATGGGCCAGCAGCATAATATTCATCCATATCCCAAGGCTACAATCATCAAATTTGAATATAAAAAAAAAATCCTTTATTTTGTCCGAACTTATTCTAAAATTCATTATCTGCTTAACTCTATAAAAAATTAATCCCCAGGGGGCTATATATAATTTTCGATTAATTTTAACCTATGTATAACTTTCGAGGTTATCTTAAGCTATACAATTACTATGTCTAAATATAACGAAAAAAAGTTAATAGTTTTAGGCCCTGTTTGTTTTTGATTCTCAAATCAATTATCATTTTCAACCACACATTTTTCAATAAAATAATATTTTCCATCACATCAATACTTTTTTCTTCTTTTTCNACATTCTTCAATAAAATAATATTTTTCATCACATCAATAATTTTTTCTTCTTTTTCAACCACGCATTTTCCATCATATCACTATTCAAAAATCAATTCTTCCCCAAAAAATCCCTACCAAACAGGCTCTTAAGCTATAATTTTAAAATCGATTGTTATGCTTTATCCTACACGAATAATGAGTGATGATACATTGTGAGACTTTGTTGGGGTGGTCTAACTTTAAGTGACGTTGTTTATGTCAGTCGAACTAGGTACATGGTTTGAGCTGAAATCATTTTTATATCAGTTAATAAATATTTTTTGAATCAGTTACTAGACCAAGTTAATAATCACGTAGACACTTTTACGGTTCAGTGTCATTACTTTGTTGTGGCATGCGACAATGACAACATGAAGCTTACAAGATCTATCGATTAGAGTAGACAATTGATCTAAAGATTCATGAATGTAATTAAACTACAATAATTTGTGTTCGTCTAAATCTATTTTGTAAAAACAAAATTTTTGGACCATTTATTTAAAGGAAATTTACACAAATAGGACAAATAAATGATTATAAGTGAAAAGTGGTGTCTTATTTTTTTAAATAAAAAAAATTGCAAGCCATACTAATGTAAATTTAGGAAATTGAACCCCACGAAAAATCTGCCGTAATTCTACATCATTTATCCTACCATTAATTTCAAAAATAAATCACACCTAAAAAAATGTATATCAAATATCCTAATCAGCCAAGTTATCATTCTTCTTTCCTGTCCCGAGTGAAAAGACAAATTCATCGAAGAATCTTCCTAATCCCCCATTTGGCTCACATTACTTCAAAGTATAATTTTTAGAATAGTATTTTTTGGAGGATATATGGTTGAAAATGAAGGAAATATTTATGATTTACGCATAATATTATTTTATGAAAGATTGGATGATTGAAAATAAGAGAAAAAAGAATAAATTTTTGGGATAATGGGGCTAAATGGGGTCTTAAGACTTTCACAAATCCCCCAATGTAATGTAACAAATCATGTCATTGTCTAATCCACAAACAAAAATAACATAATCTTCTAACAAGGCTTTTTTGGTCCCTATAGTATTCATTACTTGTGAATTCAGGACCTATCATCGGAATTTTGACAAAATCGTCCCTATATAAACCTTTCATTAGCAGAAATGGTCCTTTTTGTCCACTTCCATCCAAAATGGCCATTAAATGACAGCACATGCTTAATTTCACAAGGACAATTTGCCCAGCCACTAAAAATAGAATTAAAAAATGGGTAAATTGCACTAGGATCCCAAACCTTTCTTGAAAATCTTGCAGTACTATATTCTGAACTTTTTTTATTTTTGGATTGAAATGAGTAATAATATTGATCTTGTATTATAGATGGAATCTACGCTGGGAAAAAAAACATTTTCTGAGTGGAAAACCTATGCTGAGTGTGACTGTTAAACTCTTTGGACGGTGATTTTTCGTCTTTATGCTAGATGGTACCTACTTCGCTTGCGACGCCGCACCACCAATAGTATTGCACTTTACATGTAACAACATATTCATAAACCACCAACGAGGGATCGGTCCAATTTTTAGCATCAAAATTGGGAACTTGTAAACGTTGAAACCAATGCTACGGTAGAGATTTTTTTTTTTTTGGGTTAGGGGGTGGGGTTGGGAGGGAATAGGTAGGGTTGAGGCAGATATGGGAGACAATGCATGGCAGTGGGACTAGAGTGGGTGTGGGAAAGGTTGGAGGATATGGTTGTGATGATCAGTAATAGAATTTGGGTGTGACCTGAATTTCTAGTTGAAATAATTGAAGAATTTTAATTGAAGTGCATGTCAAGAAAAATTCAGTTTAAAATACTGTTGGAGTCCTATGTCAAGTTAGAGTTTTATTTTAGAAGNCCCCGTGGCGCTGCGGTGCCACTTGTGTCTGTTTCATGATTTTCGCATTATTCTCTCCTTTTTAGTTTTGGACTTGATTTTTTGGTATCCTACTTCATCAACAACTCTATTAGAAGAGTTTGGACATCCCTTACATGTTCTATATAAATATTAGGCTCTTCTATATAATTTTATGGTGTGAGAAAAATGATTACTAGCTTTTAGGATCAATTGTATATTTCTCTATTATTGTTCACGAGTCAATAGAATCTCATAATTCATTTGTCATATTTTCTCGTCTTCTTTTATTCTTTTACTTGCAATCAAATACATCATTATTGTGTCATATAATTTCAACATCTCAATCGGTGATTGATTTCATATCAAGTGGTATCGAGCGATACATGATCTTTGAATTCTCAACAATTGCTATCAGAGATTTTGGGTTTAATTAACACAACAAGTGGTATCAAAGTCTAGGTTCAGCAGTTTCGCAAAAGCGCAGGGTTTGATTTGTTCAAGGTTTTTGTTTGTGATTGCTTCCATGAAGTTTGACATTCCGCTTAAACACTAAAATTTTGCTATGGCAGGTTAAGATGCATACAGTACTCGCATAAACGGGATTGGGATGATACGTTGTTGGGAATTGACAATATCCCTGCAACTTTGACGTCGAAGGAGAAATTACTGAAAGATAAGAAGGCAATTTCTCACATTCATCTTCATCTATCGAATATTATTCTTCAAGACGTTTTGAATGAGGGTTCAGCGGCTACTTATGGTTGAAGTTGGAGTAATTGTGCATGACTAAAAGTCTGACAAGCAAGTTGCATCTCAAACAGCATTTATACTCTTATCGAATGGCAGAAGGAGGATTATTAGAAGATTACCTAGCTATATTTAAAAAGATCGTCACTGATTTGAAAACTTTGGAAGTAAAGTATGATTATGAAGATTTGGCCTTGATCATATGGTGTTCGTTGCCCGCTTCGTTTTCTTCATTTAGAGACACGATCTTGTATAGTTGTGATACTCTCACCATAAATGAGGTGTATGATACTTTGTTCTCAAAAGAGAAGATGAAGTATCTGGTGTCTCAGGCTAGAGATTGAGAAGGCCTTATTGCTCATAGTGGTTTTGGAAGGGACAGATCGAAGTCTAAGTTCAATAATCAGATTTGTAACTTCTGCAAAATAAAGGGGCACATGAAGACGAATTGTTACAAATTGCAGAATAAAGAAAGGTTGACTGCAAGTCGATATGAGAAGCAATCAGAGACTTCAGGATAAGCAAACCTCGCAGAGAATATTGTTAGTGAGGGAGATCTCTTGGCTATTTCTGATATCTAGTCTAAGCCAGATGAGGATTTGATTCTGAATTCAGCATGTGTGTTTTATGTGTGTCATAATAAGAACTTGTTTACTACATATGAAACAATTTTCAAATGTGTCGTGGTTATGAGAAACAACGCACATTATCGGATTGTTGGAATTGATACGGTCAGATTGAAGTATTGGATGGGACAATTAGAACATTTGGCTGGTTTGATATGTTCTAGATTTGAAGAAGAATCACATCTCGTTGTTTATTCTTGATTCAAAAGGTTGTGAGTTTTTTGGTGGATGTGGAGATTCGAAAGTTTGTAAAGGTGGCCAAATTGTATTGGAGAGACAGAAAATGTCTCAGTTATACATTTTTCAAGGTCATGCAAAATCAAGAAAAATCAATCAGCACATATTCAATAGCGTTTGGTACAATACCTTTACGAGCCCGTAAATGGTCAGATTTGAAGAATATAGCTCAATGGAGTTCGGGAGATATGGATAATGTCGTTTTGCCACCATCACCTGTAGTGCCATTATATTCTATTGCTAGGGACAAACCCAATGGAAAAAAGTATGTGGATGCTGATTTTATTGAGCATACTTTCTGTATAGTAGAAAGTGTACAATCTAGCAATGGGTCTTCTTTTAAAGCATTTGGATTTGATTTTGCTTTGGGGTGTGTTACAATCAATTTGGTGAATTTTAAAATTATTATGATTTTTTAGGAATTTGAGGTAATTCTGCAGAATAGTGCTTGAATTCATTGGAAGATGTGGAATATTTTGTGTTTGGTTGAAAAATCAGTTTTGGTTATAGTTGAAGAGTCAGTTCATTTCTTGTAGACGGATTTTCTTCTCTAGGAGAATAAATTTTGGAATTTTGTTCGTTGCAGTGGAATTTGTGTTAAGGTGGAGATTTAACAAATTTGGGTGTGAGTGTGACCATAATTCTTTATTGAAGTAATTAAAGAATTCTAATTGAAGTGCACGTCAAGAAGAATTCAGTTTGAAATACTATTGGAGTCCTATGTCAAGTTTAAGTTTCATTTTGGAAGCCCATTGTGAGATGAAAATTAATATTGGACTTAA